ATGGGACCCAGGCCTCCTTCACACCTGTTTCCCAGAGGAAAAGGGGCTTCCTGCCCCCCACGCGCCTGCCAGGGTGCCTGCCTCCCCACAGGCCCAGAGCAAGAGAGCTGCTGGGTCTTGGGCTGCCACTTCCAAAGCTGTGAGCCAAAATCAGCTAATGAACTTCCACCCTAAGTTGATTTATTTCAAGTATTTGCTTTAGCGAAGTAAAGCTGACTCGTACAACGGTCACTAGACGTTTCTCAACAAAATGACGACACCCCCGTCTTTCAGAATCAAAGCAACCCTTGGGCTTTGGTCATGGACTGTGTCCTCGACACTGCAGGTTCCGACAGGGGCTGAGGAAAGCCCTGGTCAGGGAGCACCACGGGAGCGCTCGGGGTGCCGGGACAACAGTCCAGACCCAGAGCCCCGCCCTGACCTCTGCTGCCCACGGCTGAGCCCCAGAGCCAGGCTCGGCTGCTCTGGGCTTGGCAGCCTGGTTTCCGGAGGCCAAGGGGACGCCACCTTCCTCCAGAACTTGGCCCCAGGTCCTTTCTCTCTGGCTTTTGTTGGGGTTTTAGGTGAAGCACTCTGCTGCGTTTTCAGTACTAACTCTTGGCTCCGTGCACAACTCTGGCTGCTCGGTAAACACTGGGGCACAGTGAGAGCGCAGAAGCTGTCACACACCGTGAGAAGCCACCTTGCGCTTCAGGTACTCGCAGCAGGGTGCAGAGGACGATGTGGAGGTGTAGCCTTAGCACTTACTGCTGCGTGCTTCTTCAGCGTCCCAGCCAGACCAGGGCGCAGGTGGCTTTCCCACGTTGGCACCCCTGCCACTTCAGGTGGGCTGTTCTTCACGGAGTAAGTCACCCCCCGACTTCCTGACATGAGCTCCGATGGGTTCTACACGCGGACACGTGCACAGACAGCCCCAGCAGCAGGAGGCCGAGGCAGCCGTGGTGTGGCCGGATGGGACAGGCATTAGCTGGGCCGTGAGGACACAAGGACCCCGTCCTCCTCTGAGCAATGACAGCGTTTTCACATGTGTAAGTGATTGGAGATCTACCACTGTTCTAAATGAAATGTTTTAAACATAACAATCCCCACTCAAAAATAAACATATGTCGCTTTGAAAAATCTGCCTTTCCTTAGGAAAAAAAATACTTAACAAGTTAATTTAAAGCCTTCTGGCAAGCTGCAAGCTGGTAGTGCCGCCCAAGGTCGCAGCCTTGGGGGACAAGAGGAGAGGAGCGGGCTTTCCAGCTGGCAGGTGGCCCTGCAGGTCACCTCTCCCTCCTCCCTGACTTGGGTTTATTGTTGTCAAGGTCTTAGGGCATTTTGTCAGAACCACGTGGTGCCAGGTACACTCCGAGCAAGCTCAGGTAGAAGTCCAGCTCTGAAAGAGCCCATGGTCTTGGTAGGCGAGGGTACACGTCAGAGGCACGAGCATCCAGTCGCTGGACTGAGCTGGGCTTGTGTGTGCTGATGTCTAGGCGACTCAGAGTCCTCCAATCCTTCTAACGCAGAGAGTAAGGGCCACAGGAATGAGGCCAGGTGGTGAGTGAGTCCCTCCTCACTCAGTCGGCTGGCGCAGATGAGCCGGGCCTGGACTGGCCAGGACCTTCCAACTGTGTCTCCTGGATGGTTCTTCTCACAGCGAATGCGGGTCCAGCCTGCTCTTCCCATCAGAACAGAAAGCCCACTAGTGGCCATGGTTGCCAGGGAACGGGGCCCAGAAACCAGGCCTTCAGGGCACGGCAGGACTCGCGGCTTGAGAGATCTGCTTTTTTCTTCAGCCTCAGAAAGTCAAAGCACTTACTTTGCCTTGTGAGACTCGGGAGAGATTTATAATGAGCCAGACACTCATGCAGGATGGTTTTCATGCTCCCTGGAGCATGCAAAGCCCAACTGGGGGACGCAAGACGCTCCCTGCAGAGGAACCACTGTGGGCGTTGATTTTATGAACTGTGAGAAGCCAAAGGTATGTAAAGTGGGCAGCCTGCTATTTTTACCA